AACCCTAAAGTTTCCCAAGAACTTAAATTGCAGATCGCCCAGAAGGCAAAGGAGAAGCTCATGACCAAGATTGGAGCACACACCAACTTATGTAGGAAAAGCTGTGTAAAGGACATCATAGAAGAAATGTATGGCAGAAAGAAAAGAAAGAAGAAAGGAAGGAAGGAAGGAAGGAGGGAAGGAAGGAAGGAAGGAAGGAAGGAAGGAAGGAAGGAAGGAAGGAAGGAAGGAAGGAAGGAAGGAAGGAAGGAAAGAAGGAAGGAAGGAAGGAAGGATAGAGAGGGAGGAAAGGAAGGAGGGAGAGGTCTAGGCATTTAGCAAGAGTAATAGACAGTTGATGGACAGCCCACATGTTCCATGAACATTCCTTTCACTTTGGTGGATCCCCTACAGTGAATTTAGGGGAAGACATGGGTCAGAGTGGCACAGGATGGGGTGGCATGGATGGGTTGTGAAGGGAATATCCACATCAATGAGATTGTAGATTCATTAGAGTTTTTGAAATAACTCTTTGGTACCACCTGTTAAGTCAGAGAGGGGTTGCAGTTTGTGATTCAGATATTCAATAACTTAATGGCCTACCCAAAACCACATATTTCAGATATGTAATAAGGGGATTAAAAAAGCCTGGAAAATTTCCTACCTTGGAAATTCCATTTGCCAGGGCCCGGATGGAAAAATGTCCCTTTGTAGGGCTAGAAGGGGGCAGATCTCAATAGTTTGGAAGAATGTAAGCTCCTTAAGGGGAGGAATCATTTTTCAGTTGGTTTTTGTACCTTTATCCCCTAACACAGTCCCTGGTACATGAGATATGGATAGTGACTCACATTGTGATTTTACTGTTCCAGTAAACTCCCAGACGAGGAAACTTCCTCTGCCAATACAGGACATCACTTTCTCTGTAACTTATAGTTTTTTTTTCCAAAATTAATTCATTAATTACATTCATTTTTTTTACTTTGAGTTCCAAATTCTCTCCTTCCCTCCTGCCCCTCTCCCACCCATCAGGAAGTCACTCAATATATCAATTATACATGTGATGCAAAACATATTTCTGTATTAGACATGTTGCAAAATAAATAAATAAATAATAAGAAAAATGTAAAAAAAAAATCTGCTTCAATCTGTATTCAGAGTTAATCAATTCTGTCTCTGAGATGGTTAGCATTTTTCAGCATGGTTTCCTTTGGAATTATCTTGGATCATTCTCTTGATCAGAGTAGCTAAGTCTTTCACAGTTGATCATCACATAATTTATAGTTTTTGAGGGTTGCCTAGAGAAGTTAAGTGACTTGCTCGGGATGAAATGTGTTATAGACAGCAGTTGAAGTCAGGTTTTCCTGACTCCAATAAACATTTATATAGCACGCATTGTGTGCCAGGCACTGTGCTAAGATCTTATATAAATATTATCTTATTTGATTCTCATAGCAATTATTCAAGGTAGGTGCTATTATTATCCCTATTTTACAATTGAGGAAACTGAGGCAAACAAGTAAAGTGCCTTGCCCAGGGTGACACAGCTAGTGTCTGAGGCCAGATTTGAACTGTCTTTCTGAATACAGGCCCAATGCTCTACCCGCTACACCATATTACCTCCTTATACCTAATACATAGGAGATAGGTAACCCCTATATAACTGGTACAGAGTAGGTCCTTAATAAATGCTTGTTGAATTGAACTGACTTGTCCTGAATCTTCTATGCCACTCAGTCCATCTTTAGCCTGGCAGGAGAGGCTTCCTATATGCCACCTTCTGGGCTATCATTTGTTTTAGTCTCTCCTATTCAAAGTCTAATTATTATTCATTTCCCTATTATTCCTCTTTGGCTAGGAAGAGTGGGAGTTGAGCAGGGGAATTTTTTCCCCTCACTATGGCAGCCCATGATTGAGTGTGTTTGTCATCCAAGAGGAGCCAAGCAAAGTTCATTTAGACTCATAACCACAATGTTGACCTCTGTCTGAGAAACTTTTCCTAGTTGTGGCAACTCTGGAAACCATCTCCCATGTCGTAAAGGGTTGCCATCTATATTGGTGAAAGAAATTTCTATCAAGTATCCTTGAAATATTGAAGGAAATATGGTAGAGGGGAAATAGATTTGGATTTGGACCATCATAGGACTTAGAGCTGGAAGGGATAGTTGGAAACCACCCAATCCAACCTCCTCAGCCTTTTTTTTTTTATCTTACAGAGGAGGAAACTGAGGCACAGTGCAAAATAACTCGCTGTAAAAGTCACACAAGTAATAATAGTAACGGCTATATCATGCTTCAAGGTTTGCAAAGCACTTTACATACGTTCTATCACTTGAGTTTCACAACAATTCTACGAGTTAGAGACTCTACAGGTAGGGAAGGAAGGGGGAAGAGAACAAGTATTTATGTAGTGCTTACTATAATACAAGGGACAACTAGATGGTAAAGTGGATAGAGTGCCTATCCTGGAGTCAGGAAGGCTCATCTTTCTGAGTTCAAATCTGGTCTCAGACACTTCCTAGCTGGGTGACCCTGGGCAAGTCCTTTCACCCTGTTTGCCTCAGTTTCCTCATCTGTAAAATGTGCTAGAGAAGGGAAATGGCAAACCACTCCAGTATCTTTGCCAAGAAAACCCCAAATGAGATCACAAGGAGTCAGACAAAACTGAACAACAACAACAATTACTATGTGCTAAGCACAGTCTGAAGGACTTTTTTGCAAATGGTACCTCATTTGCAAAATGAGATAACAACACAACAACCCTGGGAGGTAGGTGCTATTATTATCCCCACTTTACAGCTGAGGCAAACAGAGGGTGAGGGACTTGCTCAGGATCACACAACTAGTAAGTTTCTGAGGCAAGATTTCACCTCAAATCTTCCTGACTCCAGGCTCAGCACTCTTTACTGTACCACCAGCTGTCTCCAACTTACTGTTTACCCATTTTATAGATGGATAAAAGAGGTTCAGAGAACTTATAACATGCCCACGATCATGCCTCTAGTAACTACCAGGGACGGGACTGGAACTTCTATCTTTCTGACTCCAAATACTCTATCCCATACACTATGGATACCTCATATCCTAAGATCACAGGTGGAGAGTTGGTAGGATCCCCGAGACCATCCAATCCAACCACCTCATTTTATAGGCGAGGAAACTGAAACCCAGATAGGTCAAGTGACTTGGCCCAGGTGAACCAGGTAGTAATCCTCAGAGATGGGTTTTGAACGCAATTCCTCTAGCTCTGGAACAAGTGCTTTCCCCACTGTCCCGGACTGCCTTCCCCACTGTCCCGGACGGCCTTCCCCTGCCCCATGTAATAAGTAGCAGAGGCAGTATCTGAAACCGAGGTCTTCTGATTTCCAATCTAGTTCTCTCTCCACTACGCCACATAACCTCGGGATACCTTAGTATCTCTGACCTTTAGGAGCTAAGTGACTGTGGAAAAGGCCTCCCTGAGCCTCATTTTTCTCATCTTTAAAATGTGTGTAATAAACAGAAGGGATGTTGTGGAGAAAGCTCTTTTGCCAACGTTTTTGTTTTGTTTTTAAACGTGGGGGGAGGGAAAGGGCCGACGTGAGCTGTTACGATAACCTCAACCCACCTCCACAAATATCCACTTTCTGTCTTGGCTGTTTCCCTTCGAAGCTCCCCCTCATAAACATATGCGTGTTATCCAAGGACAAAAGGCACTGAGATTCTTTATGTATTCCTTCTACATGGTGCATTCTCCCTCCAGTCTATGGCACGAAGTCCTGAACCTCTCTCTACAGCTCTCCTAGCTTCCCAGGAGCAGCTTCCTCTACCACCTGTCAATTTCAGAGTTGAGATTTGGTGGCAAATACTGCCGTCCTCCACTCTCAGAACACACGAACCGCGGTCCCATTCCTCTTTAGAACTCAGGGCAAGGACTCTGGCCCTAATTATCAGCTGGCCCCCAGGGAAGGTAGAAGGGCTTAGTAGAACCAAACCGAGGGCAGAACGCCAGGCCCAGGGGCAGAGACCCCAGGCGGCTGAGGCAAACGGAAGAGTCCCTGCGGAACAGGTGGCCCAAACCGTGCGGAGCCGCGCTTGTCAGGCGCCTAGGGGCGCGGCCGGAAGGACGGAGTGGGCAGGGCTGCGTGCGCGGCTGGCGCCGGGGTGGGGCCGCCGGGCAGTACTGGGCCTAGCCGGGTCTGGGAGGGAGGGAGAGACAGACATTCCCTTAGAGCCGGACTGAGGGGAGGAAGGCAGAGACTGAGGGGAGGCGGTGACCGAGAGAGGAGGACGAGTGCCAGGCGTCCGCGCCGTGGACCATGTGCCACAGCCGCGGCCAGTGTAGCCGCCGCCAGCGACTGGGCTGGCCAGCTGAGGGCCATGGAAAGGGGCTGCAGAACCCGGGGGCCACCGCTAGCAGCTGCACCAGCCCCAGAAGCAGAGCGCAGCCCAGCCCGTGAGGTCCTGCCGGGTGGTGGGCTGCAGCAACGGCAGCGGCAGCAGAGAGGCGGCTGAGCCCCGAGCACCCCTGCACCTAGCGCGGCTGCGGCTCCTCCTCCTCCTTCTCCCCGTCTCCTCCCATCTCCTCCTCTCCGCCCTCCCTGCCCCCACCCCCGGCCTCGCAGCGTTCCTCCCTCCCTCCTCTCCGCCTTCCTTGCTCTCTTCCCTCCTTCACCACCACCACCACCTCCTCCTCCTCCCCTGCGCGCACCGAGCAGCCAAGCCCGGGGGCGGGGAGGGGGAGGGGAGGGAGGGGAAGCAGGGCGCGCGTGCCGCCGGGCGCGAGGCGGGCGGGCGGGGGGAGAGCTCCCGGGGACCGGCCCGGCTCACGCCGGTGTAAAGGCTACCAGGGGGGCAGCGCGGGGGGGGGGGAAGGGGGGGGGAGGACTGTAGAAGCGGAAGCGGGGTGCGTGCAGCGGCTCGAGACAGGGAGGGGGCCCCTTCCTCCCTCCCCCTCCTCCCCAAACTACCTCCACCCCTACCCCCACCCCCTGCAGCCTGGCGCGCGCCGAGGGCCCGCACAGCAGCGGGCTCTCCCCCGGGCCATGTCCGCCTACTGCCTGGGCTTGGCCAGCAGCGTTTCAGCACCCGCTGAGGCGGACAGCGCCTCCTGCATGGAGCTGCCAGGGCCCGGCGGGGACGCAGTCCGGAGCCCAGCCGCTGCCGCCGCCGCTGCCGCCGCTTTAGTGTCTTTCCCGGGTGGCCCGGGGGAACTGGAACTGGCTCTCGAGGAGGAGCTGGCGCTGCTGGCGGCTGGGGAGCGGCCGCCGGACCCGGGAGAGTTTTCCCAGGCCGAGCCAGGGCTTCTCGACGCCGCCGCCGAGGCCCCGGGCCCCGGGCAGCTGCTGCAGCCGTCTTCGCCCCCGCAGGAACCCGAGCTGCTGTCGGTGATCCGGCAGAAGGAAAAGGACCTGGTGCTGGCTGCCCGTCTGGGTAAGGCGCTGCTGGAGAGGAACCAGGACATGAGCCGGCAGTACGAGCAGATGCATAAGGAGCTGACGGACAAGCTGGAGGTGAGGACGCTTCAGCCTAGGGCGGGGCCCCTCGGGAATGGGGGGCGGGGGGAATCCTGGGGCACCTGCTCAGCCTGGGAGCAGGCAAAGGTGGGACCTACCTGAGTCTCCCTCCCCCACCCCAGAAAGCTAGGCAGGGCCCAGTTAAGAATAATTGACATTTAGAATTTGCATATAGCGTCGAATTTGAGACTTTCAAAATCCTGTGAAGTAGGTGCCGTCCTCAGTCTCATTTTACAGATACGGACACTGAGTCTCATCCCTGACTCTATGAGGTAGGTGCTATTCTTAGCCTCGTGTTTCAGAGGAGAAAACTGAGTCTGAAAAAAAGGTAAAATGGTTTGCCTGTGGCAACACAGCTAATGTCGGAGGTGAGATTTGAACTCAGGTCTCTGTGGGGTTCCAAGTCTACCTTTTCAGTACCCCGTGCTGCCTCTCAGAGATTCTGATCGCTTTTCTATAGATCCCTCCCTTGAAATAGGACACATAATCACGACCTCCAGTGTGAGGGAATTCATTTTGCACCATGACTGAGAGAGCCTGTACACTCCCACAGAAAGAGCAGGAGAAAGTCACACCATATTGAAAATCTGTGGTCTGGCCTGCTGAGGAGCTATTAGCGTTCAACCAAGGTAGGCTTCACAAAAGGTAACTGGGGCATTCAAAGCTCTCTGACCTGCTGCTGTCACTGAAAGCTATAGGAAAAATGGACCCAAGAAGAAGCATGACACATAAAATGTCCAATGCCCAGACAATCACACAATGTAGCAGGTTCCAGAGAACCCGGGCTAGCTTACATGCCAGGACTAACCACGTGACTGCCAGCCATGGATTTCATTTGGGGCTCAGCATTTAGCAGATTTGGAAGGGCACTTTTCTAGGTATTCTCTGCAGCTTCTCGTGCAGTTGGGTGACAGGCTGGGACGTGTGGGCACCACATGCCTGGCTGCCGTTAGATCTATTTCTCATATTGATTGTAACGTTTCCTGTGTGCCATTGGTTGGTCTTTTTTGGAAAGCAATCTTTGTGTTCCATCAAATCCTGTATGATGAGAAAAAGGACTCCATGAGCAAATTCCAGTACTAGACTTCTTTCCTCCTCCCCCAAAAAAATTTTTTTTAAATGTTTATCCAGAATACTTATTTGTGTGGCATTTTTCCAGGATGAAAATTGGCTTACTCTTTTTCTCCAAAATTAACTGAACCCTGTCTTTAACCTAGGGTTAATCCATACCCTCAGTTTCCTCAGATTGGCATTTGTTGGTTCTGTTTATATATTTTAAGTTCCAGTGTGTTTCATGGCCATATTAGTCAGAGGGATACTACCCTTCACCACCACCACTCCCAAGCACTTCAACTAATAATAATAGTTGGCATGCATGTAGCACATTAAAGTTTGCAAAGCACTTTACATACAAGAAAAGCCCGGAATGGAGCACCTATTCACAGTCTAGCTAGCAACAGAGAAAATCTCCTGAAAAATTAGGTCTCTAGCAGTGGAGAAGAGAATACATACATATACATGCATACATACATAATGCACACATATATATGTATACACATACATGTGTTTCTATGCATTGTGTATATGCATACACATACACATGCACAGTTATACACACATATATGGTGTGTATATGTGTGTGCGTACATATACATGTATGTATATATGCATGTATACATGTATATATGTATGTATACATATACTGGTTTATCCTAACCTGGATGCCATCTGTGTATATCATAAGACTAGAGCCTGATAGGGTCTTCTGTCACCAATATCATATGGGCACATAGTTGAAATATACAAACAGCTTCAGATTCAGACATTTTCCTAAAATGAGAGTTTAAGTTGTTAAATAGTATGCAATAGAAAAAATAGTAGATTTGGATTCTTAAAGTTCTAGGTTCAAAACCTGACTGTGCCAATTAACAGCTTGTATCACTTTGGACCAAGTGCCTTTCCCTCACTGGATCTCAATTTCCTTATCTGCAAAATGAGGGTTCTTCTTAGCTCAGTGCCAGACACATACTAAACACTTAATAAATGCTTTGGCTGTCTACTTAAGTGTCAATATATTACCTGTAAGATCCCTTCCAGGTCTAAATCTACAATCCTATGTATTGTTGAAATATAAAAGAGTGAAAGGAAGCTGTACTTTCAGTCCTTGGCCTTAGAGACAAGAATAATAACAATAACAACAATAATTAACAACAATAGCTTATGTTTATACAGCACCTCTGACCCTGGGCAAGTCACTTAAAACTCTCAGAACAAAGTTACTCTAAAGCAACTCTTTTAAGAGTATAAGGCTGCAGGAAGGGTGCTGACCTGCATTGGTAGAAGGAAGTTCCTCATACCAGTGAAATCACAGATACAGTGTCTATCCTTGGAATGAATACATAAGCGTTTTCTCTTAGCTTCACAGTTAACTTTAGAAAACCATGGAAATAAAGGTCTGACCATCTCCCTTTATAAGTTAGTTTATAAAAATCAAGATTAAAAAGCAGTTAAACAAATTAATATCAATATAGAACTCTGAAGTTACTGAAGCAGTTTATAAACATCTCATTTTAAGCTTCATGCAGGTTCTGCAGTAATGAGGGTTGATGAGTAAACTGAGGCTTGGAAAGGTTCATAGGCTCACAGATTTAGAGCTGGCAGGGGCTTTAGATCATCTAGTCCACTCCCCTCATTTTTACAGATGAAGAAACTGAGGAGCATCATGGTTAAGTCACTTGCTGAGATTATACAAGTCAAAGCACTTGCCTAGTCACTTAGCCAGAATGTTTCAGGATTTGAATTCAGGTCTTCCTGCACTGCTTTCCAGAACTAAATACATGAGCCCATGACCTGACAAAAACAAGAGCGAGTTAGTGTTCCAGAACCCAATTGTTTCATATTCTATGGTCAAAAAATGAACACACACTGTCTCTGAAAAGTGATTGAGAGCACCTCTGAACCACATCCAAAGAAACACCCCATTTGTAAGGAACTCAGTGGATGGAATTGGGTATTGATTTCCATCTAAAATGGTGGAACAGAAATAACAGGTTATCTCTCTTGAGTGATTCAAGAACACAATTCCAGAAAGAATTATTACCACAACAGGTCTTTGCTCAGAGATTTACAGTTGCTGTTTCTAACTCTGCCAAGTGAGGGATCTGGTTGAAAAGACAGACAGCTAATATGGAAAGAACATCATGTCAAAGTCAGTTTGAGTAGTAATGGATTTCACATTCAGATGTGAAATCACTGTTGTATAGCAACTCTCAGTGGGCAGCTCCCTGAAGAGTCTATTCATTCCTTTACCTGTTAACAGATTTTTTTTTTAAAGGCTCATCATAAGCAAGAAAGGCTCTGCATTTTGATGCCTCAATTTCCTTTTAATTTTATGGCCAAAACTAGTTGGATGGAGCTAGTCAATTCAATTCAACTCAACATTTATTTGTTTTAAATTTTCACTTCTTCAATTTACAAGCATTTGTTTTCTCTCCCTCCTACCTCCTCCAGTTAAAAAAGAAAAATAAAAACAAAATCCTTCTAAGAAGTACTTATAGTCAAGACAAAAAAAAAATTCCTGCTTTCTCTGTGTCCAAAAATGTATGTCTGATTCTGGATCTTGAGTCCCTCACCTGCCTTTTTGGGTAGCATGTTTCATCATTTCTTCTCTGGAATTATTGTTTGTCACAGGATGGATCAGAGTTAAATCAAAGTTTAAACAAGCATTTACTAAGGGCCTGTTATCTACTAAGTACCCTATTAGGCACTAGGGATAGAAAAAAAAGATAAAAACAAAGCAGCCTCTGCCCTCAATAATAATAGCTCACATGTATATAGCAGCTAAAGTTTACAAAGCACTTTGCATTTATTATCTCATCTGATCTTTGATGACCCCAGGAAGTGGGTGCTATTATTATTCTTCCCATTTTACAGATGAGGAAACTGAGGCAGATAAGGGTGAAATGACTTGCCTACGGTCACCCAGATAGTGGATGTTTGAGTTTGGATTTGAATTCAGGCCTTCCAGAGTCCAAGTGCGGTGCTATCCATTTTGCCACCTAGAGGCTTTCTCAAGGAGTTTACAATCTCCTAAGTAGATGTGACAAATGCACAGATCAATAAATCCTGAATAACATCATTTCGGGGGCAACTAGGTGGCGAAGTGGATAGAGCACCGGCCCTGAAGTCAGAAGGACCTGAATTCAAATCCGGCCTCAGACCAAACACTTGACTCTAGCTGTGTGACCCTGGGCAAGTCACTTAACCCCAACTGCCTAAGCATTAAAAAAAAAAATCATTTCAGAAGGGAGTGAGCATTAACAATTAGGGGAATCAGGAAAGACCACAGAAAGTGCCACAGAGCTGTGCTCTTGAGGAAAATGGATTCTTAGTGGTAGAAGGGAGGAGGGGGTATGTCCCAGAGACTGGGGACTGGGAGTGGAGAAAAGGCACAGAATCTGGAGATGGATTATCAGATACAGAGAATATCTAGCAGGCCAATTGAGCTAGAATGGGGACTGCATGAAAGAGTAATATGAAATACAAGAGTTTGTATTTAATCCCAGAAGCAATAATGGTTTTTGAGTAGGGGAGTGATGTGATCAGGCCCATGGTTTTAGGAAATTTTATTTGGCAGCTTTGTGGAGGATGGATTGGGAAGGGAAGAGACAGGAAGCAGGAAGACCAGGAGACCATTGTAGTAATACAAGGAAAAGGTGATGAGGTTCTTACTTACAGAACTTTAGGGTGGTGGCCCTGTGAGTTAAGAGAAGGGAATGTGAGACATATTATCGAAGTAGATTTGACAACACTTGGCAGCTGATTGGATATGAGAAATGAGGAAGAGAGAACAGTAGATTGTATCTTCTTAATCTACAATGCTACTTGGCCCCTCTCCTATTTACTTATCCTTTTCCTTTCCAATAAGGTTTGCCCTCCCAGAGCCACATTCCAGTCCTTGGTCCTAGGCCACCAAGTCTCAGTGATAGCTGTGAGGT